TTTTAAATTTGTTAAGGAAATGCTTAAGTTTAAAACACATTTTTTTTGGCCTTTTCACACTAATGCTTAGACTTCATTAATGTTAGATGGGTTCTCTGTCTATTAAACCCAAAATTTGCTTCTCATTTATCTTTTAAATCCACCCGCTTCATGAAAGAGTTTTGGTCTCTAAACCCATAAGTTCTTGCCCTACTTACTTTGAAATTCACCCTTTTAAATTTGTTAAGGAAATGCTTAAGTTTAAAACACATTTTTTTTGGCCTTTTCACACTAATGCTTAGACTTCATTAATGTTAGATGGGTTCTCTGTCTATTAAACCCAAAATTTGCTTCTCATTTATCTTTTAAATCCACCCGCTTCATGAAAGAGTTTTGGTCTCTAAACCCATAAGTTCTTGCCCTACTTACTTTGAAATTCACCCACTTTCAAAATTACTCTTAGACCTAAAATATTCCATCAATTTTTTTTTCGTCGTATAATCTACTCTTAGCATTTCTCTTCTAACAATATTATTCTAACAGTGCCTACTCCAACTCCAATTGCTTGCAGGCAAAGACTCCCATAGACACCTACAAATCCCCCGACAACAAGCACCGAACCTTTTACTTCCCATCTCACAACTTCACTCTCATGGTCATCTGGACCGAATTCTTCGTCGACTCAAAAGAAATAAACACCAACGGTACTCTTTCAAGCACGGTAAACCTCGACAGAATAAATCCAATCTGGGCCAAAAAACTCCAACAAGCAAGCTACGCAGTTATCAGCCAAGGCAACTGGTTCGGTCGAAAAACCTACATCAACAGGAAACACAAACCAATAGGTTGCGTTAACTGCGAAGGTGAAAATATGACTAACATTAGAGTTCCATCTGCAATCAGAATGGTTTTTAAAGCGGCATTCAAGTTCATAAACAAATGCAAAAAATGCGAAGATTTAGTCACCGTCATGAGAACATACTCCATGGGTCATTTTGAGGATGGATCGTGGTTAAATGGAGGCTATTGCAACAGGACTCAGCCTTTGAGAGAAGGGGACTTGCGAAAGGATCATGAAGCTTGGGAGATAAGGAGAGTTCAGTTGGAGGAGATGGAGAGAGCCAAGAGAGAAGGAAATAAGAGGATTGAGTTGTTGGATGTGACCAAGGCTATGATGTTGAGGGCTGATGCGCATCCGGGAAGGCATTGGATGGTTAAGGACACTAATGACTGCTTGCATTGGTGCTTGCCGGGGCCTATTGACATGTGGAGTGAGCTTTTGTTGGAGATACTCAAGAAGAAGTCATGATTTATGGTGGATTGATGGAATTGTAATAAGATTTTTTTCCCCCTTAATTGACGCTAGATTTTTTTTGTTGATTATACAAAGATCAAGTGAATATAAAGTGTTTTAAACTTTTAATTTTAATGAAAATTTGATTTTGAACGTGTGCATGTGAGAAAAATACTTATTAGATGCCTTGCATCATCCGAAGACTGAACCTCAGATACAACTTGTTGCTGAGGCACTTCACCATAAAGTTTCTCGAGTCTCATCGATCGATAAACCTGAAACAGATGTCTTTGCCGATACTTCATATAGGATCTCATCAAATGGACACCTTCATCTCTTGCTGGTCATATTCAGATTGCTTCATGTCGCTCGGCTTCTTGTTGATCATCTGAGTACAAATTCCTTGTTGCTTCAGCTTTTTATGGAAATTATGGTAGGTGCACCAACAAAAACCAAAGTTACAAAGTAAAATCAAAACAAAATGCAAAAAACGAATTGACAATCACAAACACATGGAATTTTGCATGGTTTAGATCAAGCAAGCCCTATATTGATAGGCAATAGCATATAATTCACTACAGCAGACGAGAAGCATCAACAATATATAGATGCATTCCCCCCCCCCCCCCCCACACACACACACACACACTAGATTCCATTAAAACAATCTAATAAATGAAGTTACTTTTGTGTACAATAAGAGGTCTAAATTCCTATAAAATTAGGACTTCTCAGGAAAAGAAAAACCCCTAAAATCGGTCTAATGAGCAGTCAGAGCGACATCTGACTAATCGAGGATTCTTGGTGAGGATTCTGGACAAAACTCTACAAATCCCATTTTTTAGCACCAAGTTTGCATATAAAAACTTGTTTTGGGGGACTTTGAGAGACTTGTCCCTGTAAATTTTTGCTAGGTTGTTGAGCAGACTGCGATACAAGCATATACACACTCAATAATATCATAAGCTTTTTGATGTGATTTTTTTAGTCCAAATCTAAACTGAAGTTCTAATTGATTTAGGGTCTGTTCGGTTATTTCCTAAAAACCAAGAAATGGAAATGGAAAAGGTGAAAATCTCAAAAAGTACTATTTCCTCCATTTCCATCCCTAAAACTCACTCACAACATCCAATAAAATATTATTTTCATCCAACAACTCATCCACATCATCTAATAAAATATTATTTTTATCTAACCACTCATCCATCACATCTAATAAAATATTATTTTTATCTAACAACTCTTCCATCACATCTAATAAAATATTATTTTCATCCAAACATCACTCAACTCATATCTTCTCATCATTTCAAATCACTCATATCATCTAATAAAATATTATTTTCATCTAACCACTCATCCATCACATCTAATAAAATATTATTTTCATCCAACAACTCTTCCATCACATCTAATAAAATATTATTTTCATCCAAACATCACTCAACTCATATCTTCTCATCATTTCAAAAATCACTCATATCATTCAATAAAATATTATAACAATTCACCTCATCTCATTAACATTTCATTTCTTTGTTTTCATCCCAAAAAGTTGTGAAAATACTTTTCTTAAGTGTGGGTCACACCACCCAATAATACAATGACAACTCATCTCATCTCATTTCATTTCTTATTTTTAAGAATGAACCAAACAAAAAAAAGCAACAAACTACAGGAAATAGGTTTCTTATAATTCATTTCCTTATTTTTTTCGCCAACCAAACAACATCAAAACTAGTTTTTCTTAAAAAATCACTCACATCATCCAATAATAATGTGACAACTAACATCATTTCATCTCCATTTCTTTGATTTCCTTCTTTTTTTAGCAAACCAAACACTCCCAAAACAATTTTTCTTAGAAATAGTTTTCTATTTCTTTGATTTCCCATTTTTTTAAGGCAAACGAACAGACCCTTAATCACTGCTGGTTGGAAAGGGGTTTAAATTAAAAATAATTATTAGAGTTTAACCCTTCATAAACCATCCAAACAGGTTAATTTGGTCAAAGGGCTAACAAATCCTTTTACAATGGTTAAAGTCAGTTAAATCCTCATTTTGAAGGCGTTAACAAATCCTCTTAAAAAGGATGATCAAGAATTAGTCCTCTGAAAATAATAAATGAAAACCTTAAAAAAGAATATAGATTAGGATATTTATGGCAACTAACATTTTTAACCTTTCTTTATTTACCAAATACAAAAAGTTTTAACCATTCATCTTGGCTATCAGATCCAAATAGAATTAAATTAAAGGTTAGCTAATTAGTCCTTTCTCTTAACTATTCTCTCTTAACGACTTGCCAAACAGCACCTATTTAGTTGGTCTCCCATAAATCAAGAAGAAAAAATGAAATAGGAGAAGGAAATTATCAAAAATGGTTTCCTACTAATTTCTTCAAAAGATCCAATGAAAACATGGACATAATATAAAATATGAAGATGTCAGTTGTCACACCACTTTTCTTCTCGATTTTAAGGTGAGAACCAAAGGGTGAAAAAAAAATATTATAAAAAATAGATTTCATATAAAATAGCCTTTCTTTGATTTTTAGGTCAACCACAACCCCTCTATAATATTTGAAAGCCTAATATTTTAGTCTATTTTCGATAGACTAACGCGTTAGCAGTCTTTAATGTCGTCCACAGTAGCAATGGTGGTATTATATCACCTTATTCAACTGTATCTATGCCGCTTCATTTGAATAAGAAAATAACTGCTCGATGTCATGTTTTTTTAACCTTGAATCTTGATATACATATATATATATATATGCATGCATGCCTGTCTCTTATATTGTAGAATATTTCAAAAACCCAACTTGCCGCTCGTGCCTTTGATTTCGCCCCCAAACAACTAAATTGAATCATAATGGAGACCTTAAGAACCAGTAATTAACAGAGAGGTCGCATTTCTTGAAAATTCCTCTGAGTCCAATTCATATCAAAGACGTCAATTGTGAGGTTCAAAATAATCGGGCGGTGACACGAGATCTCAGTGAGTGAAAAATAAATTAGAACACATTACGGCGCGAAATCAGCCTCGTGTAACGGTCTCCCCCATCGAAATCCCTCCACGTGTCCCCAGTCGTCAGACCCTAACTAGCAATTACCACGTTACCACCCCCTTTTAATTAATTCTCTCTTATTAGTTGTATCCATCAAGATTTCCCACATTCATTCCTCCTCTCTTTTACACGAGCTAGGTCATCCTCCCCCCCTAGTTTCATTACATGGCTCGTACTTTTCAAGCACATTTTATAACCCTACATGATACCAGCACTACGTACTATAGGATTAGGACCCACCTCAAAGTCTCGTAGCTACATAATACTATGGCCAAGGACCCATCCCCTCCTCATTCTCCTCCATTTCAAAACCTAAACCTAGATGCATTCAACATCCATCTAAAGAGAGCGAAGTCACTCTTGCCATGGATCCTCTTGGTTTCTTTCATCTCCCTCCTCGTCTTGATCTACTCTCCAAACCCTAGAAGATTTTGGCTCGCATCGTCCGATGTCAAAAGCGGTAACTATATATATAATATATATATCAACACGTACATTTGCTCCAAAAGGTCTTGACATTTGTTATTAATCCCTTGTTGTTTTAATTTAGGCGAAAACGTTTGCAACTTGTTCGACGGGAGATGGGTGAGAGATTACGGGAGGAATGCGTATGGTCGAAAGAATTGTAGGACGATACCGGAGTCGAAAGATTGTGCAAGGTATGGGAAAGATCAAGGATTTGTGCATTGGAGATGGAAGCCTAGGAGGTGTGATTTGCCTAGGTTTGATGCTAAGAAATTCTTGAGGATTGTTAGAGGGAAGAGGATGGCCTTTGTGGGGGACTCAGTCTCTAGGAATCAGATGGAATCCCTTCTTTGTCTCTTGACTCAGGTGAGATTTTTTTTACCTTATTTATTTGATTGTTATTGTTTTGTGTTTCATCTTGGAAGAGATTGGTACTGGGTTGTAAAAATTTTGGGTTTCAACGTTTGATGTATACATGCATGCATGCAGGGAAAATATGAACAGCAAATTAAGGATGTTAGGATCTTTAATAATTTGCCTGTCAATTAAAAAAATCCAATAAGAAATTCTTTCAAAAAAAACCAATTAAGGAACGTGTTAGTGAATATATTAGGTTTAGAGTGAGAAAGAAAAGATCTATATGTTTCAATTTAAGATCAGATACAATCTTTGTCAATAAAAAAATATGAAATATACGTAACTTATATCAGATACATGCAAAAGGAATATGTTGTCAGACATATACGAATGTGTATATATACATGAGCTATATAAGTTTCCTCACTCTCATAAAATCAACAATATGGTTAATCCTTAGAATGATATAGTTTATAAGTCATCTCTCATATAACCTCTATAAGGTATGCATATCTCCCTCCTATATAGCTAGCTATTTCTTCTATACGAGTAGGGATCCTATCAGAACCATTTGTATATGAGTGGAATGATTTACCCCATAAATGGAGGAGTTTTAATTACCAACAAATCCTTTAAATATCCGTGAATGGTATATATATCACCCCTCTTTATAAGATGTTCTGATGGAATCCTTACTCATTCTATATATTCCTTCTCTTAATGTTTACTGAGTCAATTTTCTTTAAAATTTCCTTATTGGTACCTATGTAACTTGTCCGTGATTTTTTTTATGCCAAATGTCTTTATATGCCATCTAGAATTATGTATTGTAACATTTTCTATTGAACATGACTCGATCAGATGTATAACATGTGAGTATTATTATCAAGTATTTTACATAAATATCAGAACAATGTTTTAACTTATGTATGGTTTTTTTTTTTTTTTCTAAAGCAACATGTTATAGACCATGCATAAGACGAAGTTTTAACGAGTACTCTAGAATGATATTCATAGTTTTTTATGAGAGTCCGTAATCGCATATCATTCTTCGTATTGTTTGATAAGGATAATCTCGTTCTTGCTTAATTTTGGTATCTCGTACTTAGTGTTTAAAACCTTATATTTTTAAAAGCCTTTTTTTTAAAAAATAATATCAAATACCAATGCAACACCACTCTTCTATTTTATACCTATATAAAGTCCTTGAAGCATTTCTCGGTCTTTCAATCAGATATGGTTAGCACATGATTAGCTACAATGATGACCGAGATTAATTGTTACACCACGTGCACGAGAGAGCTAAAGAATCTGATTACTAGAAGAAATTAAAAAGATATCTGGTTGATTCTACCAAAATAAATAAATAAATAAATAAAAAGATATCTGGTTGAAAGTTCTGCACTGTACTATACTTTATGATAGTCAGTATTATACTATAGCGTTCAGATCTTCGCATTTCGGAAAATGTTTCATTGGAGAGCTCTCATGGTCAGTTACATGTGCAAGTGTCTGTCAATAATTCTAGGATATATATGTTCCCAACATCCTAATTTCAATGGTACATTTTTCTCTCGTGTTCGTGTAAATTTTTTTGCAACTTCAATGCGTTACCAAAAAGTTTCTTTGGCAAATTCTCAAATTACTTAGTTTATTATCATTTGAAATAATCACACTAGATATTATTTTATTTTAGAAAGTTTTAGCACCCTTGGTACTCTAGAGATTTGGCATATAACCATATGTAGTGGGAATTGTTATTGTCGTTTCCCCCATTCGGATAACCTCATGATCTATTATTTGTATTTTCAAATGACAAGAAATTTGAAGAAACATGGTGACCCAGATAGTTGGAAAGTTCCAATGTTGCTCCCAAGGTCTTGAATTTGATTCATGTGTAAAAACTATTTAATTAATAAGAAAATATTGTATACTACGTACGTATTTGATCATCTTCTTACCATATTTTTGGAGCTAATCCATACCAAAATCTTTTGCGATTCATTTTGACCGGACTATTTTGAAAATTCTCTGTAATAGCTCTTCAAGAAAGTACTCAAAACTTTAAAAAAGAAACTAAAAAGTAAATGAATGTATCCCTCCAACATTCAATATATACTTAAGAATCTACTACCCCTTCAATATTGCAGGTAGAAACTCCGATAGACATTCAAGAAAAAGACTCAGAAGACCGATTTCGAACATGGTACTTCCGCTCCTATGACTTCATCCTCATGACCCTCTGGACCAAATTCCTGATTGCCGGAACCGAAAGAACAGTCAACGGAACAGGGACAGGAGCGTTCAACCTACACTTGGACAAACTCGATACATCCTGGACACAAAAGCTCCCTTGGATCAACTACGTTGTCATCTCCGCTGGCCACTGGTACTTCCGAAAAAACTACCTCTACGAAAACAACAAGCTCATAGGATGCATATACTGCTCTGAAGACAAACTGAAAGATTTTGAACCAACTTATGCAATCAGAAAAGCATGCGAAACAACGCTTCAGTATATCTACAACTGCAAGAACTGCGATGGGCTGGTGACCGTACTTAGAACTTTTTCGCCTGCACATTTCGAGAATGGGAATTGGAACGGTGGAGGATACTGTAACAGAACAAAACCGTCGAAAGAAAGTGATGTTAGTTTCCATGGGACTGAGTGGAAGCTGAGGAATGCTCAGGTTGAGGAGGTGAAGATGGTGAGTAAGGGGAAGAGGAGGAAGGGGAAAGGGTTTAGGGTTTTGGATGTGACGAAGGCGATGATGATGAGGCCCGACGCGCATCCAGACATTCACTGGAACAATCAGTGGATGAAAGGGTATAGTGATTGTGTGCATTGGTGCATGCCAGGGCCTATTGATACTTGGAATGAGCTTATGTTGCAAGTGCTCAAGGAAGAAGCTTTACTTGTTTGATTACAGTGTTTCGTTCGATACTGTTTTAATAATTTTTGAGAAATCTGATTCATGGTCGGAGATATAGAGATCAATTGGGGGAGATGATGGATTCAGTTCGGAAGAACAATTCTGCTGTGATATTATGATCATAAGGATTTGCTTTTATAGTTTATATCCAGAATTAAGTTCATTGATATGTTTATAGTCATAAAAAGAGAATGCCACTCTGAATGAGGTGACGCACATCGAAAACTTAAGCCAGCCGATATAATCAAAATGTTCTATCAGTGAGAATGAGAACAAACTGCTATAAACATCGAAGTCTCAATGACATGCAACGATATTGATGAAAGTGAAACTCAAGGGTGTGGTCAACATCTTGTGAAACAACTGTAACTGCAATAGAAATTCGTAAAAGTAATTACAGTTACAATTGTAATTGTTTGCTTTGCTGCAATTATAATCTTTTTCAAAGTACAATTGCGAAATTTTGACTCATGTTTGCAGAAAATGACTTGCTGTCAATTTGCTGGCAAGTCTTTTTTTTTAAAACAAAAAATGATTCTTTTTTGCATTGTAAGAAACAGTTACCGTTGCACCTGCAATTTTTTCTTTTCCCCATCCTTTTCTTTTACTTTCTTTTTTTCCCTTGCAAATTGTGAGCACATATATAGCCATAATTTTTGTGCTGCAAACAGCCCTTAGGGGTTATTCATTGGGGTAATTTGGGACAAATTGGGTAAAATTATTCCAATGGGGTAATTTTCCCCAATGGGATAATTTGAGTGGGATAAAGTGGGGGTAAAATGGGATAATGAGATAATTTGAGTGGGACAATTGGTATGACATCTTTTTATAGTATTATATTTATACACCTCACAGTTCATATCAAAATCATACATCCTGGAAAAAAAAGAGCCATTTAAAAACATATCAACGCTATAAACCCTAAAAAGAACGATCGATCAAGAGACCGAACCTGATCATTTGTTGAACGATCTAGAGGGGGAATCGAAGGTTTCCCACCGCCAGAGCTCTCTGATCGCCAAAATTCAAATCAAATCAGGGCGGAAATCCCTGCTCGGGAACGACGACAGCGGAGCGGCGATCGAGCTCGAGCACGGCGACGATGGAGCTTGAGAACGGAAGTGGGGTAATTCTGTTCCCCTCTTGTTCCAGGAAAAAAATGGGGTAAATTTGGAGGGTGGAGCTGAGGAGTGCTTATATAGTTGGGGTAATTTGGGAGGAAAGTGGGGTATTTATCCCCCATTTATCCTAACAAACCAATAACACCACAAAGTTAGCTCCAGTTCCAAATACCCAATGAATAACACCAAACATTATTGTTCAAAAAATTATCCCATTATCCCCAAAATTACACCAATGAATAACCCTCCTCTAACGAAAAATTAAGATTTGTGAACTTCAAATAAAGAATCTGTGCCGAAATTTTAGGACATTATGAGAAAGCAAGAGCCCGACTCTGCCCGTCTAAATCTCATTTAACTTTAAGACTTGAAGGTCTGTAAACAAACATGTAAACTAATGCAATCAAATTAGTCCATTTACCAAAACAAAAGAGAGAAACTTCAGAACAAGGAGAAGCTCATACAAATTAACATGCAAATGCAAGGCAGCAACTAGCATTTGACACCAGATACAGTCTACTTCTTCAGAATTGTTCACTTGCGTCTCTCCACTGTTTGCTTGTTCTGCCGCAAGGATTTTGGTCATGTTGCTGAAGAAACAAGAAGTTCCATCTCCAAACAGAAAATTTCTTCTTTATTCCTTCCTTGAAACAAAATAACTTTATGCTGGTGCACCTGGTAAGAAAAAAGGATTGTTTTTCTGCTCATTATGAAGTATATTAAATAATAACAGGGTAAAGGAGGGCACATAAATTGAACAAAGAGATACATTCCATTTTTAACAAGATGACTAGTAAGTTCACATGTAAGTACGTAGTGGACGATCCCTTCCAATTTTCCAGCTCTGTTATTCCTGATAAATTATAAGAACTATACTGCTCATTTGACACTCCTTTCATGATACTATAACTTCTATATCATAACGGCGGTTGTAAGGATATGAACACAGGTAGTCTTCAAAATTATATATTATTAAGATTGGTCAGACCAAGTAGTTTCAATGCTCACAGTAGCCATTTTCTTTTTTTACTTGCAATTCTGTAGAAGACGTAAACTAATGTGCCAACTTTTCTAAAATCAGCAGAATTAACTGTTCCAACTGTGTGAACGCATGATTTTGATGTCAAAACAAAGTTCAAATATGGGGGAAATCAACTGTGGTGAATTCACTAGCTAGCATCCAAATGTTTCGATAAAGGTAATTTTCTTTTCTTTTCTTGGAAAAAATGTCATAGCATGGTGCAAGTGGGAATTAAATTCTGGACATCTAACCACTGCAAAGAGGCTTACCACTATGGTATTGTGTTTCTTAACAATTATACCCTTAAAAATATATGTTATTATAAATAAATAACATTGACTAAACATCTGTAGGTAGTTATATTATTGTACCATGATAAATCTATACCCTGGATTTTCAGAATTGCCGAATCTTTGAAGCCATACTGTGTAACATACTTGCACCAGTGGAACAGAAGGTTACTGATACAATTAATTTATCTTATGTATCCTACAAGGATATCTTCTTTTCTTTTCCTTTGAGAATATATCATAGGATGATGCAAGCAAGGACTGAAGTCAAACCGCTTGATCAATGCATAGAGGCATATCACTGTTGAGCTAGTGTTCCTTAACCATTATAGTCTTCTAAAGCCATGCAACTATAGATAGATAACATCGACTGAGTACCCACTTACAATTATGTTATAGTTGTATCCACAATGTATTTGTATTCTAAAGTTAAAAAATTGCTT